ACCTTGTTTTCTTCACTCCGTGTGTGTTTATCAATCTAAAAGTAGCGACGGCGTCACGTGATGGATTTATTTAAAAATAGCCATTTTTCTTTCCTTGCAGGATAATAAAAAATAATTATTTGATAACTTTATAACGTGTTTAATTTTGATGGTGCAATTTACAGTATTTTCATAACTTTTATTGGTAAACAAAGTATATAAATTTCCAATCTTATTTAAACTGGCGCAAGTTATAGCGTGTATACTTTTAAAAAAAAACATCTCCAGAAGAACCAGTAGGCCACACCCCCAGAAAAGTCAAAACTTGTATGAAAGCTTCCTTGAGAAGTGTAGGGTCAAGTTTCTTCTAATTATTGCCTCTGATGGTTGGGCTGCAGTATGGGGCTAGGACAAATCAATATCATCAGAGAATCTCAGAAACAGCCAGAGCAAAGTTAGTCCTGCTGCTTCACTTACCATACTTACCCTAATAGTTAAGGTTTTAATTTTTTTTTTTTTTTTTTAAGAACAGTTGTACAACATACATGTACATTAATTTTGTTTTGAATAAAGATTGAACCATCAGGCCAGGGGCCCATTTTACAAAAGAACTGACAACTAAAACCAAAAATTCAGTTTATTGTACAATTTTCCAAAATTAATCATAATGATTCTGTTTAAAATTGCCAGTGTAAAAATATCTTGTAATATTCCATTTAAAGAGATAAAAATTATTTTCAAGATGTGTTAATACATAATATCACAAGTACCTCGCAGTTATCTATCTTACTACCACTCTTTTGTGGGGGTGGGGGGGGGGGGGGGGTGGAGAAAGTTCGAAATCACGCAAGATTTTTGGGGCAAATGACATTGTTTACAATAGTGACAATAGAATGATTCGAACAATTTTATGCCGAAAGTACAATGTCTTGCCAAGAATTGAACTCCAAATAGAAGATTGTCAAATAAGGAAAGTTAAGAATATTTTATCAGCTTTAAAATGTGATGATTTTCAATGAAAATTTAATGAGAAAAGTCCGCTCAGTTAAAAATATCGTAAAAAATGTAATATTTTAGAATTAGCTCCTCTCAAAAATTGATTAGGCTGGTTCAGCGATTGTTTAGCAAGGTATTCCACTGGGATTTTTTACTTATCTGTCCTTATAAATTCTACAATGGTCGATCTTGCATTGTATTCAGTATAGCACATTTGCCCCAATCCAACAGATGTTTCTAACCTCCATCGCGAAAGAGTTCTGCTAAGTTAAGTAATCGTGATATCAAGTATTAGAATTCGTATAAAGAATCAAATTTTGGTGTTAAGTCGTAAGTTATTTTGTAAAGCAGACCCCAGGTTCTTCCCACACAAGGGAGTCAAAATTAAGTATCATAATATAATGGGAAATGTTAAGATAGAAAAAGTTGCAACTGATTCATTATGTTAACATCTCTATGTAAGGATAGAATTAAAGTTGAAAGTGACTTTAAAGAGGTTTTAAGGATTTATAAGTACATACATGTTCATATATCAGTATTCAAAATTTGACCGTAGGAGTATGTTAGTCTGACGCTTCAGCATTGTGGTCCTTGGGACTCTTGCTACTCCAATGAAATACTCAAATTCAGTATTAATTTACTTTGCAAGTTAACCTGTTAATGAATTGAATGTTTTATATATTACCTGCATGGCAGTATGCTTAAAGATTTATTTGTTCAGGAAAATAAATTTTGGTATGTCTTAATGCTTACCGGTATACATAAAGCATATTCAGTACCTTTCTGAATGACCATAATTATACAAATTAAACTTTGTCATGCATTCAACTCAATGCTGTCTTTGAATGTCTGCCAAGCAATATAACTGATCACTCTTACCCCCACCCAATCCTTAATTGTTCCTGATTGACTGCTGTAATGCTTGACAAACTCTAAAAGTTATGGCTTGGTATTAGGTGCTGACTTCACTAAAACAGAAGGTGGATCATTTTGCTTACACTGTGCCAAACTTTGATGGACTCCTTCTCCGAGCCAAGCGGACACTTATAGCCCGAGAGGAGGAATGGAGGCTGGGGTGTGTCACAATAAGTCCCTACAGGATCAACACTGTCAGTCCCATCAAAGCCAAACCTGTGGCAGAAAACAATAATAAAGGTAGGTACAGACTCAAACATGTCACAATAAGTCCCTACAGGATCAGCACTGTCAGTCCCGTCAAAGCCAAACCTGTGGCAGAAAACAATAATAAAGGTACGTACAGACTCCAACATGTCACATTGGCAGAAAACAATAATAAAGGTACGTACAGACTCCAACATGTCACAATACAGATTCCAACATGTCACAATGGCAGAAAACAATAATAAAGGTATGTCCTGCATAATTATTGAGGAAAAGTTTTTGAAAAAATTCTTATTTGTATTTCTGTTTTCCAGACAAAAGGAAGTCCAGTTTAGCGGAGTTTTTCTCTCGCCGATCTCCAGATAAAAGAGCCACTAAAAAGGGCCCTCAACTGCAGGTTCTCCAGGGAGCAAAGGGATTCCGATACATTAATTACCAGAACAGACCTCACGAAATATCTCAGAACCCCATGGATGCCCCCAAAATTAGAAATGCAGTGTTCTGTGCTGTGATATTGGAGGAATTTGTGAAGGAACTGGCAGCTTACAGCCAGGAGCAGGCTGTTTTGGCTCACTCTGAAATCTGACCCCAGGCTACAGTGATATTGTTTTTGTAAACTGTTAATGTCCACACATTTCTCTCTCTCTTTCTAGAGCACATATCAAATGAATCCAATTCAGTTATTTTGTATAATTAGACTAGAGTAAGCTATGATGATGCTAGCAAAATTTTTATCATCTCAGTTTGTATTATATTTTTTGTGATATTAAAGGCATAGGATCCAAGACCTTGGAGTAAATTTTTCATTATTATATAAGTAATTATTTTGAAAATTAACCATTTTTAGCTCACCTCAACGAAGTTGGGGGGAGCTTATGTGATACCCTCGGCGTCGGCATCGGCGTCGGCGTCCCGGGTTAAGGTTAAGTTTTTTGGAGCAGTTTTCTTTTTAAGTACTTCTATGTCCTATATTGATTAGACATGCATGGAAGATGTTGCTAGTGTGTTTCATTGTACCAATCAAAGCTTCAGATGCTGCAATTTCAGCAAAGGAATGACCAGGTTAATGTTTTTGGTGCAGGTTAACATTTTTGGTGCAGTTTTTGGTGTAGGTTTCATTTCCAAGTTACTATGAGACATATAATGACCAAACTTACATGGATGATACATCTTAGGATGCATACTACCAGCCTTGCTTCGGATGCTGAATCTGACCTACATTTTCCGGTTGAGTGACCAGGTTAAAGTTTTTGGTGCAGGTTTCATTTTCAAGTTACTGTGAGACATATAATGACCAAAGTTACATGGATGATACATCTTAGGATGAATACTACCAGCCTTGCTTCGGATGCTGAATCTGACCTACATTCTCCGGTTGAGTGAACAGGTTAAAGTTTTTTGGTGCAGGATTCATTTCGAAGATACTTTGAGCCCTATAATGACCAAACTTGCATGGATGGTACATCTTAGGATGTATTCTAATAGACTTGCTTCGGATGCTGAATCTGACCTACATTTTCCGGTTGAGTGAACTGGTTAAAGTTTTTGGTGCAGGTTTCATTTCCAAGTTACTGTGAGACATATAATGACCAAACTTACATGGATGATACATCTTAGGATGCATACTACCAGCCTTGCTTCGGATGCTGAATCTGACCTACATTTTCCGGTTGAGTGACCAGGTTAAATTTTTTTGGTGCAGGATTCATTTCGAAGATACTTTGAGCCCTATAATGACCAAACTTGCATGGATGGTACATCTTAGGATGTATTCTAATAGACTTGCTTCGGATGCTGAATCTGACCTACATTTTCCGGTTGAGTGAACTGGTTAAAGTTTTTGGTGCAGGTTTCATTTCCAAGTTACTGTGAGACATATAATGACCAAACTTACATGGATGATACATCTTAGGATGCATTCTACCAGCCTTGCTTCGGATGCTGAATCTGACCTACATTTTCCGGTTGAGTGAACAGGTTAAAGTTTTTTGGTGCAGGATTCATTTCGAAGATACTTTGAGCCCTATAATGACCAAACTTGCATGGATGGTACATCTTAGGATGTATTCTAATAGACTTGCTTCGGATGCTGAATCTGACCTACATTTTCCGGTTGAGTGAACAGGTTAAAGTTTTTGGTGCAGGTTTCATTTCCAAGTTACTTTGAGACATAATGACCAAACTTGCATGGATGGTACATCTTAGGATGCATATTACAAGACCTGCTTCTAATGCTGAATCTGACCTACATTTTCCGGTTGAGTGAACAGGTTAAATTTTTGGTGCAGGTTTCATTTCCAAGGTACATGTACTATGAACCCTATAACGACTAAATTGCATGGATGGTACATCTTAGGATGCATACTACCAGACTTGCTTCGGATGCTGAATCTGACCTACATTTTCTGGACGAGTAAACAGGTTAAAATTTATGGTGCAGGATTCATTTCCAAGTAACTTTGAGCCCTTTAATGACCATACTTGCATGGATGGTACATCTAAGGGTGCATTCTACTAGGCTGGCTTCGGATGCTGAATCTGACCTACATTTTTTGGATTAGTGGAAAGGTTAATTTTTTTATACAGGTTTCATTTGCAAGTAACTTTAAGCCCTATGTTGACCAAACTTGCATGGATGATACATCTTAGGATGCACACTAATGGACTTGCTTCGGATGCTGAATCTGACCTACATTTTCCAGATAATAGACCTCGTAAAAGTTATGGGTGCAAGTCTATCACCAAGAAACTATAAGGCTTATATAAACCAGTTGCACAAATGATGCATCAAGGGATGAAAACTCTCAATCTTGCTTCAGATGCTGGATTTTAATTACATTTTCATGTTGAAGAAATAGTTTTTAGTTTTTATATAGGTCTATTCCAAAGTATCAAAATTGCATAAATTTTTCATTTTTTAGTTTTTATATAGGTCTATTCCAAAGTATCAAAATTGCATAAATTTTGCATTTTTGGATGTACACTTTTTGTTGGTTAATTGTGTGACTTAATTTGCCTTACTTAAAGACAACACACGTTGAGGTGAGCTCTGTAATCTCTGATTACCTATGTTTTAAATTTATTATGGGCTTCATTTATAATGATATTATTCCTAAAATATATCCAGGTGTAGTGAGTATATCAACATACGTGTATATCTCTTACCTTACGTTGGTGCTCAGAAATGTTCACACTGGTATCTCGAGTTTCTAAAAATCTAACACAGCTTTGAATTTAAGATCTAACCAAAGATAAATTTCTTTAAACTGAAAATATGTTTTAGTTTTATTGATTACAGATTCTTATTTTGTACTGCATTTTCTTTTAATGTTGACATATTTTCTTCCCCTCAGTGTTTTATGGATGTTTTACAGGCAAGATGAAATCTTGTGCTTTGTTTTAATGTTTATCGATGTACACAAAGTATTTTTATACAAGTGGTATACATGTACCTATATAATTATAAATGTTAAACACTATGCATATTATTGTATTTACTGGCTTATTGCTACACAGCTTGATATCCCTACAGAAAATGTTGATTTTGGTTTAAGGAAATAGTGTTGTCCTAATAATAAGGTTGTGAAGAGCCAGTTGTATTTCAGAATACTCATTTTGCTTGTAATGGAGGTTATATATTTGTTAACTTTAATAACATTTATAAGGATTTTTTTTTCAAGTTTATTAAAGCTGAACACGATTCAAAAATCTTTTTCTGCCATATTTCTTTTCATTAGTTTTTATTCCTAGAGCCCCTATATTAATTCTTTCATTTGGTCATGGTTCATTATTTTTGGCATTCCAGTTTTCACCTGTTTCGATGTATCTGAAATTGCCATTGTTAGATACTGTTAATGACAAAAAATACTGCATGCATCTTTCACCATGGAGAAAAATTACCAAAGAATCATGACATCAATTGCACAGAGTCAAATATATGTTAAGTGTAAAGCTTTCAGTAGTTATTGAGTGAAGAGATAAATATAACGATTTGATGAGGCTGTTTTAAAATTATATGCATTTCCAATAGGTTATTTTGCCAATGATGAAATTTGTAGCAGAAACTTCAAGTTATTGAACAGTGAAAAATCATCTCCCTACTCCCCTAATTTAAAAAACATGGCCACTTGTCATCCAACCCAAGAGGCTGCCACCAAAAGGGGCAAATTGATGTATCAAATGCAGAGGGTATACCCCATGTTAATTTCTGAGATCGGAAAACTAATATGGAGTGGTTAGGTATGATTCTTGTTCAGCTTTAACATTTAAAATGAAAGAAAAACTTGCCGAAGTAAGATATTGTAGTATTTTACAAAGTAATATGTATCGTGGTTGGGTACAGATTCATTATAAACAGGTGCACATTTATTAATAAACATTTTTTACTGTTCAAAATATGCTTTATATACATGTAGTTTGCTCTGTTTAACATATTGAAATTTTACACGTTGAAAAGATAAACTTGTTAAAAGGTTTAAAGAATTGCAATGTAAATGACAAATTTTATTGCCTTCAAATCATGCTTGTCAGAAATCAGGTCAATTTCTAGTCAATTTTCTATGTTTAGCAAGAATTTCATTTGAATTCTCATGATTTCCATGGAAACTGAATTGGAATGTTGTTACTGTTGTTCCTATGGAGATTGTTGTTTTACCCTGCAACTGAGGAATCATTTTATTTGTGAGGGCCAATATTCTTTATCTGCAATTATTTTTTAGGTTCATTTGGATGTTATTTGTTTTGGGTGTACATCTCATTATGAAAGAAACAGTATACATTGTAATGTCAATTATATTGGTTGAGGCTTCAAACTTTTAGGAAAAGGGACTCACAAAATCTGCAAAAACTGGAAACCCCATGAAATACAAATGTTTCCACAGTTATTATAAGCCTGTTTTTTTCTTTTATTTCAGCCTGATGCTAACAAAATTTACAGTTTTCAGTCAATGTGCACTCCTGACTTACCTAGATTCAAGTCTTGTCTGAGTTTTCGGGCAAAAAAAAAAAATAGATTATCACTTCAAAAATTTGCTAAAAGTTCAAGTTTGAATCAAGCTCTATCAAAGCATGACTGAAGCTGATTTCCAGCTGTCCAGTCAAATTGTTTTCCTGTAATCTGTTGATTCTCTTTTTTGCTAAATAAAGGAATTTTAAGAATGAAGAAATATTTCGGATGCATTTTAAGAAATGTTTGTTACTTTGATTTATCAACTTATGGGATATACTATTTTCAGAATAAGTCTAAAAATGAAAATGACTTTTTAGTTTAGTCTCAGTTGTTATGATGGTTTCCTTTTAAATAAGCTGGGCAATTAATAATATCATCCCAACCTTCAATTATTATTAAAGAATGATATAAAAGTGACTTTTGTATTCTTTTCTTTATATACATCTACCAGTACATAGTAATATATTATTTATAAACTTTGAAATGAATTGTAAATTCCAGTTTAGCAAGTTTAGATTAACACCTGGTCCAAAATAAGACATGGAGTTTTGAGAAAGTTTGTTTATCCCCCCTTCCTTTTTTTCAAAATTGATTTTTTTTGTCATTGATGTGTATTTTTTTCTACATTGCACCAGAAATAGATTTAGAAATTCTGAATTTGTTTATTTTCATCCTGCTTTGGCTAGGTCGTGAAAATAAGTCATACTTCAAGGACAAGGTCAGAAGATCAAAACATCATAGTGTATTTAGGAAGGGCTTGTCACAAGCAATACACAGCTTTAGTATGAAAGCCCTATGTCTTCTTATTCAAAAGTCATGAGCAAGGTTAAAGTTTTTGAAAAGTAGGTCAGATTTCAGGG